GGTCAGCTCCAGCCTCGAGCAACACCCGCACCACTTCCAAGTGGCCATTCTCAGCTGCAACCATCAAGGCACTTGCCCCGTCTTGATCAGCTGTGTTCTGGTCAGCTCCGGCCTCGAGCAACAGCCGCACCACCTCCAAATGGCCCCGTTCTGCAGCAAAAAGCATAGGTGCAGGAAGGTCAATGTCTGCACCTGTCCCATTAGGATTCAGTGGTTTCTGAAGCAAACTTGTAACTTCGACAACTTGATTGTTCTCACATGCAAAGCGTAGTGCGTGCCAATTGGCCTCCTCAGGCGCATGGTAGTCCAAGATTACTAACTGCAAACTTGGTAGTGGTCTGACAGGCATATCATCCTGTAGTTCGCCCATCTCTGTGCTCAAGAGCCTAAGTCGAAATCTTGAACATCCAATCTTTGTGGCAATGAGCGTCTTCAAATCTCTAACATATTTTCCACTCTCCACCATGCAGCCCAATTCTTCTTCATGAAGCTGGGTGAGAACGGCACCTGCAACCGTTATAATATCCATTGCTGATCCAACATGGCTTGAGCCGTCTAGCTGTGGCCATATATATATATATATATGTGTACTCCCTTTGAGTGGTTGCTTTGTGGCTCATGTGGATAGAAGGCCTTGTCGCATTTGCCATGTGGATTCATGCCTCTTGGGCCAGTGAGCATTAGGTCACTGACCCCGTCTATCGGGGCCTCCTTGCAAAACGCAGATGTATCCCATTTCACGTGTCAACTGTGCGAATGATGCTTCAAACGTGACACGTTCGGCCCTTGCGAACCCTTTACCCTGAAGTGAAATGTCAAACCGGAGAAATAGCTGGCGTCATCCTTGCCTTGGCAGCCTCAAATTTGGGCAGGACCCTCTTGAGGAACTCCATCACAAGCTCACTCACGATCTGTACCTGTGCAGGACTCGACAGTTCAGTCCCACGGCAACTTCTGGAAAGGATCGGCGGCTCGAAACGAGGTTGCTGCAGTCTGACTTGCTGAAGCTCCAAAGAAACATGGCTGCTAAATGTTCCACCTTTCTGACTTTGGGTTGGCCACTGGCAAATGAACCAGTCCAAAGGTGCTAAACACGGCGCTTCCGCCCCCTAAACACAGCGCTTCCGCCCCCACGCATTGAAATGGGTCAAAACGCGGTGGGGTCCCTATTCGGCGTCGTGCCATGCCTGTCCACCCTGGCGAGCACTGCGGCAGAGCTGGCCCCAGGTTTCAAAGGCCAGGTCCCTGAGAGCACGAACCGTCTCCAGCCGGAGCTGCACGTGGAACACATCACTGTAGCAAGGACTGGAAGACCCCCAAAAAAAACGGGAAAAAAGAAAGTAGAACAACATCCACTTGGCCGGGGGCAAAGACCCCTGTTCCCATATACACTCAGATCTGGCAAACTCGGTGCCGGCCTTATGCCATCCTCCATGGTGAAGTCGAAGACTGGAAGTAGTGCCTGGTTTCCAGCGGGGCCTTTCTGGTTGCTCATAGCTGAAAAGCTTCACGGGTCGCGGCCTGTGCAGTTTGGGTCACAAAAGGTGCATACGCAGCAGCTAGCTCTTCCACAAACCTTGGAAAGTCACTTCTGGGATGCTGCTACTTTCGACTTTCTATGGTTCCTGGTCTCTTAGCTCTTTCACGGCCACCGTGCTAAACCAAATCCCTTCTGTTCTTACGTGGCTTTCCTTGTGCGAAGCGAAGCGCTCAAAAATTCTGAAAGTGAATATCTAAGGCAACCGCGTGTGCACACATTCCAGGGCCCCTTTGAGATCCTGAATCATTGTGAATTCAACTCACACCGAACACAGAAGATTGCATTCGATTGCATTGTTCATCCTATGCCCACGGAAGATGAGACTGGATGAATGATGAAGGTCACAGAGAGTTGAAGCTGTGATGATTTGTCCTGAATCTCTGAGGAGTACATGATCATTACCTTCACCTGGCCATTCTCACGCAGCAAGGTCCTCACATCGGGCGAAGACTTCACATGCCAAACATCAACGGCATGTCAGCAAAAAAATATCGGACGTTTACCACAAGCAGAAGGTATTGATCTACCCTCCTTTGAGGCTAAGGTACAGGCAGGTTGACTTCATCGTCATCGTCAATGTCATTGTTCCCGGGTGTGAACTCCTAGGCACAACAACAACAACAAAACTGAGGAAGGACATCTACTGGACACTGAGACAAGATTGCTAAGACACTGAGACCAAACACTCCTAATGCCGATCCTGCCCTGCGGTTCTAATTGAGTCTGATTGCAAGGGGCTTCAATGGGGCTTCCATGCACGCAATCCAGCCAACTTCACTTGAATGAAGTCTGATGCGCCTACGGCCGCCTATGTATCAAGTAAGAGTTTACTGAGCAATACAACTGCAGCACCCAAAAGAAAAAACTCTCACACAAATCGCAAACAATCGTTGCAAAAAAAAAGAACACAAACCAGCCAGGACAGGCAAACAAACAATCCAAGCAAACGAACCAGGGTGGAGTCGAGCCACCAAGTAAAATTCTGCAAGACAACGCCTTACGCATCAGGCAACTGGCTCTCTACCTTTTCAAGGATGATTTGTTTTAATGTTTGCGAGCCGCGAGGCCTGACGCGCGTCAAACTGATGGTGTGTGCTGCATCCCAGGCACCCTTGGGGCCAGCGTGAACTTCTCCAAAACACCGGGCCTAGCTCTCCAGGGAACAAAAGGACTCAGCTCGCAGCATCCAAGACGGTCCAAGAAAACAATGAAACTCAGTAGAAAACACTCCCCATGTCCCCATGTCCTCCTCACTGATTCATCACAACTATGTACACGTCCAAAGACTGTCCAGGTACACTGTCATGCACCAAGTATAAAGTTTAAGGCCCCTGCAAGATGTGACTGACGAAGGGAAGGAAGTCTTCTTTCAGCGTGGACTCAGTCACTCTAAAATCTTCATGAGCAAGACAGAACAAAACAAGTACATTAATTTATATGGACACTTAGTAAGAGTGCCACACAAATGCGCTCAGAGGCCGCCATCATGTACTCCTAGCAAAGACAATGTTCACGCTGAAAATTACAACCTCAAAACGAACCCTCAAAGTGGCATCAAAGAAAGCTTTAGCAGCTGAGGAATATGCTTAAACATGCACTATGTATAGCATGTTTGCCTCAAGTCGCTGTCCTTCACAGGATCGCTCATCGGCAAGTTTGGCACCTTCGTTGCTTCAATCATGGCCTTGCACCATCAAGATCAAGCAAGAATAGGCTAATAGGTTTCGGAAATTCATGAGCAATGAAAACCAAGATCCTCATCTACCTTATTCCCATTTTCAGTGCCGGGGGAGATTCATCACACCTGCATGATCTGCTCAGCATCGGCTTTGAAGCCACTGCGCCCAACGGCCTCAACTATGATGGCTAAAAATATGTAATATATATATATATACCCCAGGTTTTAGATTGCTTTAGTCTATCTTTGTCCCTTTACAAGTGGGTGTGGATGGTGCTCGAATGTTTGACCCATGGCCACGGCAGCCACAACCAATCTTGTCCCCTGAAACTCGTAAGGACCTGCACTGTCACACTCCCTCACGCTTGACGTGATGATGCAAAAGCTTCGTGGTCCAAAACAATGATTTATGATGCCAGCCATGCCTGTGTAATCTTGCGTGTCAAGCCTGTCTCTGTGCGTTTGAGTTGTCGATTGTTGGATAACGACCCAGATGCCACCAGTCGCAATTGCTTGGAATGCGCAAAGAGGAAGCTGTCATTGATGATATATCGGCGGAACTTTCAGATCGTTCTGCGCGGCGAGGAAGTTGGAAACTTGGCCAGAAGGGGCAGCTGCGCGGGGAGGAGCAAAACAAGTTGAGATTGAGCTGGTTTCCAGTCCGAGATGCAGACCTGGGAACAGAATATGAATGAATAAGTACATCAACTCGTCACTTCACGCGTCATCAACTCGTGCAGCTTTATATCTGTGGAATCCAAGCGAAAAGGATCCCTCGCGCACTTAGTTTCCTCAGGCGCAGCCGTAAAATGGCATCAGGCCTTCAAGCCGAGATGTATCGGCGGGATCACTCAAACCTGTCCATCCGACACTGGTGCTGAAACTGCGTTTCTACAGTTCATCCTATTCTTTTGTTGCATGGCAAGTGTCGAGTCGTGCGGCGGTCTCGCCAATCATTTGGCGAACATTCTGGAGCTCTCGAACATTAATGTTGGCCTCCAGGATTCGCCACAAACAACTATGGTCGCTGTCAAATCGAGCAAAGGTGGACCTGAAAGGATACTTCTGCGCAGCAAACCTGGGCTCTGAAGATCGGTACGATCGGGCCTGGTTGCAAACATGAGCAACTACATTTTCGTTCAAATCATGCCATCCCGGATTCTCCGAGATTTTCATCACGTGCCCGAACAGGGGAGAGGAACTCTCAAAAGGCGTTCCCAAATCACTTCTCACTTGACAACTGGGGCGCTGCGCTGAAGCCTTTGGCTTTGCTTTTGACGTCTGCTTGACATATTGGGAGGAGAACTGCACACACCAGCGACAGTCGTTGAGAATCTTGCGCAAATGCCCTGCGTCTAACTCCTTCGTCCCACAGTCCACCAGCATGTTCTCGGTGGCCATCCAGCGAATGGCAGTATTGCTTCTGCCAAGCATAGAGCGAATCCAGCTGACGCTGAAAGCTAAGCTTTTCTGGGAACCATAGCTTGGAGTTTCCGAGCAGGACTTGTCGTAGGCATCCTTTGCATCGGTCACAACAGTCATCGACCCGGAGTCAGTGCTGAGGTCGAAGGGCTTTCTGTCGAGCGGATGTCCGAAAGCTTCACTCAGCACTCCACGGCAATATTGCCCTGCGTCCATCGCTTCCTCTACGCCGAGGATTTCTGCCGCGAAGGTCGAGCGGCAGACTCTGTTGAGCCTATGCGATCTTGCATCGAGGATCGCAAAGCTTCCTTCCTTGCCAGCCATGAGGTCGCGGTCCGCGATCAAGACAAAGTAGGCAGCTTGACTGTAGACTTTCTTGATGGACTCTCCCTGGTTGCTGCCTTCTTTGGTGACATTGCCCAATGAAGCATCTGAGACAACTAAAATGCCTGCATCACGAAGGTCCAGCGGTTTGAAGTTCAGGGAGAACGAGGCATGCTGTTTCGCCTTTTTCACAAGGGCGTTCGCCCAGATCAGCGTCTCTATGGTCTGTGAGGCACCTTGCAAGGTCGACAACTGGAACTGGAGGTCAAATCTGACCTGAGCTACCAGCCACTGAAGGCTTCCCAGAAGCGCTCGCAATTGGCGCTGTTCACCTGGCATCAATGCAGCTTGGGGCGTCTTCTTGCGTTCTGGATGGACGCGCACCTGCTGAAGGTTGCTATGGTACTCTTCCATGGAAACCTTGATGGAGAAGTCTTTGAACTGCTCAGTTTTCTTTCCGCAGTAGGTGATGTTTCCTTTCGAGGTTGAACCAAAGCCCAACTCTTTCCCAAGGAGTTCCAGGGTGTTGTGCGCTCGACTATTTCCGCCAAGCAGCAAGTCGTCCACGTGGGAGATGAGAATGCCATCCAACTGCGAGCCGTCAGGGCTCCAAAGAAACCACATTGCTGAGTCCAGTGAAGACATTCGCCAGCCATGTTGGCGCACAGACTTGCAAAGGCGCTTGTACCAGCGACGAGGGCTATCTGCGAGGCCAAACACTCCTTTCTTGACGCGGCACAGGCCGTTGGAGGAAAAAGGAAGTTGAGGTTCACTTGGATCTTTCGTCTTCACATTGGCCAAATAAAGCACTCGGTCTTCTGGTCCAAACTCTTCACCTTTCATGAACGCTGACTTGATGTCGGCGCTTGACAGGGTCCAATGCATGCTTGTAGCAAAGGTCAACAGGAGGTGCTGAGAGGTCCTCGAAGCCGTTGGAGCGTCACACCTTAGCCCATATGCTGAGATGTCTTGGTATCCCGGCACGACCAGTCTTGCATTGGCCTTGAGGGGCAAGTTGCGTTCAGCTGTTCGCAGACCATCATTCTTGTCCACGTAGATGAACCTTGGCACCAAGATTCTATGACTTTCACCTTCGGCCTTCGGCTTTGAGTTTCATGTTGATCTTCTCAGCTTCACTGTCTGGAAGAGGTTCGATTGCATCATTCTCGGTCCAAACTGACCATCCCTTGGCGGCGGCCTCTTTGAACTCTTTCTTCTCGAAGTCACTCATCTGGCTCCAGAACTTTTCTTTGCGGGCTGTGAGCACTGCAAGCACTTCTTGAGCCGCATCATTGTTTCCCAAGGGCCACAACTGGTTCAGCAATTGGCGTCTCCTGAAATCAGTCCTCGAAGGAAGTGGCCAATTTCCTCTCCAGGTTCCATGGTCTCTGACTTTGGCCTCAAGCGGGTTCAAACGATCCTGCTCAGCCATGAGTTGAATTTGCCGTAGAGGACCAGAGGATGAACATGGGAAAAGGCTTCCATCTCAAGCACTTCATGCGTCACCTTGAGAGTCTCTGAGGCAGGAGCCATAGGAGAAGGTGCCGGTTGCAAGGAAGAACTATCTAGTTCCTGTTGGACTTCTTCTCGCAGTCTTGCCGGATCCACTTCTGCAGGTCTCTTCGAAGTTGCGGACTCTGTCATACTGGGAGCTCGGCTGGTGGTACTCTGTCTTCGTTGAGCCAACATAGATCGTACTGCTTCAGGAAAAGGAGATTGGCTCAAATCAGGCATTGATGAAGTATGCCTTGACCAACCGCTTGAAGACTCTTGGGGCGGATTTACACCCAAAGCATTCACCAACTCTCGAGGTTGGAAGGTCTGCTGGACTGTCTTCCGGTACACTGGGAGGAAGAAGAGGTTCAGCAGGTAGCGCCGGTTCATCGTCAGCAGTTTGCTCCTCTGCAATCTGAGGTAGAGGGCTGGCTTGTTCACGAATCTGGTCTTGCACACCAGCTTCAATAACTACTTCTTGAATGGCATCACGCCAAACACCACTAGCCACTTGCTCCAAAGAACTTGCCGATCGAAGGTGTTCCAATGCACATTTGGTCAACTGACCCCGGAAGCTCACAAAGCCGTTCACATTGCCTTCAAGGGCGACCAAAAGAGCGGGACCATGCCAGCGACGGAGGGCCAACTTCTTCTTTGATGCTGCTGTCTTGTTGTTGTAGCGAGCTTGTCTAAAGAAGTAGACTATGTCGCCAGGCACCAATCCGTGCTGTGAGGTAGGAGCTCTTGATCTGGCTATTTCGGCCTTCTCGAAGGGCAGCCGAATCATAGCCACTCGGGCCGTCTCTCTGATTGCCACCTGCCGGGCCAAGCTTGGTTTGGCATCAATGAGGCTGTGTTCACTGAGGCGTCGGCCGAAATCTCCAAGGCAATCACCGTGCATCCTGGGTTGTTTTCCGAATGCAGCCTGAGCAGGACTGACACCTGCATCTGTCACATCGCTATTGAATGCAGCGACGGACTCTTGAAGACAAATGTCTAAATCATCTTTGCCCAAAGCTGAATGCGACTTGACGCACGTGCGAAGCAAACCTTTGAGCACAGCACCACCACGCTCACAGATTCCATTTTGCCAAGGCGCTTGAACTGCAGTGTGGTGAAGGTAAATGCTCCATTCGCTGCAAAACAATTCAAACTCTGCCGACACAAATTCTTTGCCTTGGCCACAAACCAAAACACGAGGAGCGCCCAGGATGGGCAGCCAGCGCGTCTTGAAGAAGCGCTCCACGTTCTGAGAACTCTTGTGCTCTAGGATCTCTGCCATTTGAAGCCTGGAGACGTAGTCGATGGCGTGCACCACATAGAAGCGAGCTTCGCTGATGTCCCAGATCTCAAAAAGATCCATATGCACTTGGTCTCCAACATCTTTCGGGGTCGGTAAGGTCGCCGGCCTCCGAGCTTTTGGGATCTTGTGCTCGTCACAGATAGAGCACTTCAGGTGTCGTGCAGCTTGAACCATGGCCGGAGGTGCTCCGGAAATTGCCAAAGCTCTTGCCAATCTTCTTCCGGATCTGTGACCTGTGTTTTCATGCAACCTTTTGAGAGCTTGTTTGACACTTGCTGAGATCTTTGGTCCCTGCTGGTCGTCATGAGGGAGACCATCAGAGTCACTTTCATCGAGGTCGACGGGCAGCTGGGTCTCATCTTCAATCTCCTCACCGTCCTCGACTGCCAAGGTGTAGTGAGGCTTCTTGAAGTCAGCTTCAAATTGTCTTTCCATTCCAACCACCAGTGCTCTTGCCAATGCCCAAGGGTAATGACCTGCTGGTTGTGAGATGTGCTTGCCCTCGCGCACTTAGTTTCCTCAGGCGCAGCTGTAAAATGGCATCAGGCCTTCAAGCCGAGATGTATCGGCGGGATCACTCAAACCTGTCCATCCGACACTGGTGCTGAAACTGCGTTTCTACAATATCAAGTGGGAGGATTGTGGTCCCCTTACGACGCATCTTTGTTTGCCATACGGGTGGATACGCTGCACGGAACAAGTACGCAAAACCAGGTGCAACCATCGATCTGCCCCAATCCAAGGGTCAGAGATGGTCTCCTCTTGTGAAAGCACATGCTCGGCAGTCCATGTGTGTGTGTGTGCGCGCGTGCTTGCGTGTGGTAACTACCCACTGATGATCTGATCTCATCTCACATGCAAAGGGCTCTCTCGTCTTGGCAATATCATGACCCATGTGTTCTCTGGGGCTTCAACCCGGGCCAACAAAGAGATGCACTCAAAGCACTTGCCCAAAAGCTGCCGTTCCTGCAAAGTTCTTGATCGAAAATCGCGAGGCAAAGGACCACAAAAGCAAGAAATCAAGACCCTGCGAGCCTCTGTCTTGTGCAATGTATTCTGGATCACCTTGTGTTCCGGTCGTCCGCTTTCAAATTTTCTCTGTGCACATCTGGGATTTAAAAATATATATATATATATTGTGGGGCTGCTCACTTGACCCATCTACAGCGAGACATTTGGGCTAAACCGTTTATATAATGTGCACTGCACTGTTGGCGCCCACATTTCAGCAAGTCGAATATAAACAGAGAGAGAGAGAGGGAGGGAGATCCATGTTTACAGTTTACATCTACGCATACACGTATACAAACATGTTGCATATGTACAAATGCGATCATGTGCAGAAATTTATGTCATGGGAGTGTGTGCCATATGGATATGAACTCATTTGCTGCGCTCTCCAGACATCTCACGGCGTGGAGTCTCGCCATTCGACGCCTGCTTCAGCACCGGCATCAAGTGGCCGTAATAGGGAGCGAAGGCATCATCTACCTCTCAAGGTGGCCAGAAAGGCGTAGTAGTGTCCCCCAAAAGAGATAGAAAAGTGAATGCCCCTTCTTAGAAAACCTTTCCATCTATCACGGAGGTGTTCCATAATCTGATGCCGGGAGATCCCAAAACGCAAGACATACTTGCAACACCAATTTCTATTCATCCAGTGGCAGAGATGGCAATCCGAGAAAAACGTTGACCCTTGGATTGGCCTGTCCGGCGATGACGGCGATGAAGGTGATCGCCTGACTAGCAAAGCCGTGCCAGACCATGCCGGGGCATCATGCCAGACCCGGCTCCGGGCCTTCTTCTGCACCTTGATGTCCTGACTCTGGAGCTTGGCACCCAGCTTTTCCATCAAGGGTTGGATGAAAGGCTCCAGATCCTGCAAAGAAACTCTGCAGCTGAAAAGAAGCCTCACCAGGAACTTGTACTTGCTATGTCCTCTCGCTCCAAAGCCTCACCATAATGCTGGAAGGCCTGCGAAATTGAATGACAAAGCGGGAACAAACAGGTAAAACAACATGAAAAATCCAAGTTCCAATTGAAACGAGGTGACCAGGTGAACATGAATTCTCAAGTTGAATCACCTGTTCCAAAATCGGCAGATCGCCTCCATGCATCGAAGGCTGACTCTGGGGCAAGAATCATCAAGACCTCGCTCTCGGTCTGACTGCTAAAAACCAAAAGCACGATCGCTTACGCCGAAAAAAGGCACAAAAGAAAGGCACAAAAGAGCAAAAAAGAAAGGCACAGGCTCTAAAGCACAAAAAACACCACCTCTTCGCCCCATTCCGTCGCCGACCATGTCTCCCCGAGAGCCACTTCCCAGAATAAGCACGCCCAGCGTTCTGCTGGTCGTGCGTCGTCCATGATGGATGTTGCACAATTGGTTTCAATGGTCAGTCAGAACACCTATAGTTTGCTCTTAGTTGTGAGAAATACACCAAATGGATGGCAGGCACACTTGTGCTTTGTTGTTTTTTTCGATCGATCCACCTTATGCCAGGCAAATCCAACAAGTTCCATCCGTCCCATCACGTTGCGCCCCCCGTAGTTTCGGGTGTCTGTTCCCAGCACGAGGGCCTTTGAGAAACTCTGGCAGCAACTGAGAAGTGAAGGCCTAGCAACTGGAGATCCAAACCGTGCCGTCATTGAAACACGTTGCATATTGCAGTCCAAATAGAGTCACCGATAGTCCGGGATCTGCTCTGTATCCTTCAGGCCTTACCCGTCCTTGTTGCTTTCTTCAGGAGGATAAGTTTGTTAAGTCTCTCGATCAGCACATTGTCAGCTATCGTTCGTTCTTCGGTGGATCGCACCTCAGAGCTGACAACATCAGCATGGTCCTGGCTGGAAAAAGAGTAAGCTGCTAGGCTACAGTACTTTTCTCAGCCAAACTATATAACCTGTATCACAATCTATGCATATAAACAATGCACATGCACAAGTCCCATTTGGCCCTTCAAGCACCCCTCCTCGGAAAATTGTGCCATGCCACCCCAAGCAGCATACCGTACACGCCTGGCCATGCGAAAGCAACTCAGTCATGTGGAAAACACATTACATATTATAGTGTCCATGCCTGACGTTCACCAATTACCTTTTGGGTGTCATAATTCATACATTGTGAACTTGTATAGAAGCGTGATTTGTTCATATTGTTTTTTCGGATAGATTGTATGACACATTTCATACCTGGAACACAGCTCCCCACCACTGCAGTCATACTGGAACATCCAGCCATGGAGGCCATCTAGCCCGGTCCAACCAAATGTCTAAATGGAACTCCTTCAGGATTCCATTCAATTGAAGATTTTGTACATACATGTACATACCATATGTATCCATATGATTCCATACGTACATACCCAGCTCAAATTGTTCAAGCCTCAACGCATTAGAACGTCAGGACAAAAAGGCCTCGTCGATCCCAGTATGTCATGTATGTCAAAGTGTTGGAGGGTGTGACTTCGTCCGCTCACCTGGTCTTTTCAGAAAAGTTGTAGAGCTGCAATCAGTCAGGAGGGCGCATTGCTTGCCCCCAACTGTATCTTGATGCCATTCGTCATCTGGGACACCGTGGCCTGGCCGGTGAGCTGGGTCGCTGTGGGTCGGTGTGGGTCGGCCTGGCCTCGTCGTCCACATATTCAGCGATCATGGCAAGCGTGGAAATCCCTGCAACAACCTGAGGGTCGAAAGGGGAGAGGTCCTGCCTCAGCCTCCAGTCGGATCTCTCTAATGCATTCGAATGCAAGGCCTGCTTCCATTCTCCGGTTTGAAAAAGCTTGGTCACTGCCTCAACCAAGGAATTGTGAACAAAAGTCATAAGCGGCATCTGAAACCTGTCGTTTCACCAAAATAGAAAAGCATAGTGGCATAGCATCTGCCAGGCCAGCGTTTTTCCGAACACTCTTGGAGTGAAATCCCAGGGCTGCAGGTCCGGCAGCCGATTTGAGACCATCAAAACCGTTAAAAATTAGAAACATGTTTTAATGATTTTAATGTATCTTTTTATAGTGACAGACTGACAACTCAAAAAGCGAACTACCAGTAACTAGAGTGAAGCATCATGTGCTGCCTTCCCTGGCCTGTTTCAAGCCCTCCAGCAAGAATGGAAATGCTTCCACCTCCACAACTGCACCCAGTTGGTTTCTGGCAGCATCCTTTTCACGCAAGTTCAGCTTTGACTGAACCAAAGGGATACCCGCAAGTAATGCCCAAGGATCTCAGCTATCTCCATTCCAAGCGCTGAAAATTGGGTCTGGAATCCAGTCTTTCATCTGGGGGTTCATGTGCTGTTGACGAGGTCCAGGATGGGGTCCTGGTGCCCAAACCTGTAGGAATTCTGTTTGTTTGTCCTTTTTGTTTGTGATGGGCCCAACACAAAGCTTCCGCAACTGCTTGCGCCAACCTTCCGCCATGTGAAAGGTGGCTTCCGTGCGCTACTTGCTTGGGTAGGGACTTCCGCTGAGCTTACGCGACGTGAGTTACCGAGCGTTTCTTTGAGGTTTGCTTCTGCACGCAGGGTCTTAGTCCAATAATGAACAATATAGAACAGCTAGATGTTTGGGAGTTGTCACTTCTAAGTTCTCTCATGGTGTCTTCGTGGCTATACATCTGGCTAAGAATGAGGGACAAATTGGTAGATTGGAGCTTCCGCAAGGCTTGCCCGCACGGCTTCCCCAAAATCGGCAGGTGTGTTTGTAAATTTTTGTGGCTAATCATATGCCCTTGCGCTCCCTTGCGCTCAAAAGAGTCTTCTGCACAGCTTCGGCAGCTTCCGCAACTGCAATTGGCTACAAAAAGGCATGTGTTATGCCCAAACGTAAACTACAAAAGATTGAGGATTGCAAAATGGAACTCAATGGGTCTTGGATGGTGCTTGGGAATCAGGGATATAGTAGAGCGAGAACCCTGAAATGGACTCGGCTCCAATAAATATGGTAAACGAAGGCCAAACCCCACTGCTGTAGTGTTCCTTTACTACGTTCCTTTCCTTCCTAGACTGTCGTGTGTACTTTATAGTGGATGAGTGCGTGTGGGGTGATTTCCCTTGCTATGTGGACACTCTCTAGCCAAACAGAAAGAGTTTGTGACAGCAATGCATACTAAAGTCTAGCAGGTCTGTATACACTACTGAATGGGCACTCTTTGAACAATGTTTCCTCTCACCTGACACAAAAGGAAAGAGTTTCAGAAAGAAATTGCTCTTGCACGGGATTATGGAGTCTAGAAGGTCTGAACTCTTGAGTCGAGTCGGACATTCTTTGAACCGTTGAACCGTGTTTCCTATGGGGATGATAATTAATCATTCTAGATTCTAGGCCTGCAACAAAACTTCACACAACCCAAACAAACTCAAGAGATCAAACTTCTTCAAGACGGATTTCTTGAAGATCTCACTTCTTATCATGAGTTAGGTGCATCCGGGGGATTAAAAATATTGGTATGTGTGAATGTGAAGTATTTAAAAAAAGAGGATAACATTCGAACGACCCCTGCGTTCTGCCCAGGCAGTCCACCATTCGTTGGAATGTTCCAACGATCCATGTACCAAAGGAGGCCGTTCGTTCAAGCGATGTTCCAAGCAGCAAAGGAGGCCGTTTGATACCCCGGATTGCCCGACTTCGTCACCTTGACCGCACATCGACTGATACGATCCACCTCAGAGGCGTTCTGATGAACGGAGACGGGCCAAAACACCACGAACGGCACCAACTTGTGGAGAACACCCTTCCAACCTCGAGAACCCTGAGAAATCTGTTCAGCTGAGAAAGCCACTGCCTCTTTGCCAACACTGAAAAGCCTCAGGGAGCAACAGGGTCTCCAGGCTTTATTTCAAGTTCTTTCACTTCCTCTGCGCTTAGAATGGAACTCCTCATCTTCGCCATCCTCATCATCCTGACCAAAAATTCGCTCCAAACAATGAAGGAGTGTTCGCCCTTCATGGCATCGCGATAGCAAAGGAGATGGCAATCACCTTTTGTTCCAACTCGAATGGCATCGGCACCTACTTGGCACCTAATTGGCACCTCTGCCAGAACGCTCCGGGAAGGAATCGCAGGACCAACTCGGGCCTCTTGCATCCAACCAGAGATGTCGTCCTCAAGCTGCATCATGAAGTGGACACAAAGATCCAGAGCCTCGGAGAGCCGCTTCGGTTGGGAAGCCCCCAAAAGGGCCTTCCCCTATGTGCTTAGGGGAGAGTCGCTCGAAGAGACACGTGGCTGTGCCTGTGACCCAGTGTTTGTTGGTACTAGCATCATGTAGCATCCAATGTTGAGGGGATTTGAGGGGTGTTTAGTTTGGAGCGGTGCACATTTCCGGCTAGCATGTGACTCTGTGACTCTACTCACAGGAGTCCGGCCTGTTCGATATAGTGGGGCACCTTGAGCATCATTTTAGGCTTGCTCTCCATGAAGGACACAATCACCTTCGCAAAAGGCAGCCGACAGTTTCGAATGCGAAGAAATAGTTGAGAAACAGTCAAGTAACGGTGTCCCTTAAAATTGCGAGATCAGTACTGCTGCCCCATCATCCACATTTTACTCCTCTTTTAGTTTTTAAATTGAACTCGGGCTCCGACCTCAAATGCATACTTCCTGCGAAATCCGACGCGCCGACGGTGATGACAGTGTGAATCCGCTGGATCCCAAGATCTCCGACGTATCAAAGAAAAGAATTAACATATGAAGTGGACACCCCCCTGCCTTGCAGCCATATCTTGGTGCGACCTTCAAATACAAACGTCATCTGACGTCATACAAGCATGTAGAAACGTCGCTCATGTCGCATCAACTGCAGTCCAGAGCTGAGGATCTGGCTTTGCAATGCCACACAGCACTGGCATCAAATGTGTCGCAATCTGGGCACCAAAGGGCAAAACATCTCTGCAAAGTGAAGCTGCACATTCACCGAGTCGGATGTATACCTCTATCAAAGCTTCCCGTTGTCTCACATCCATCAATCCGGACATGCTCCGACTTTCCGTTGTTTTGGTGGCCCCACGTGCTGCTTGAAGAAATCCGCCGTCTCGGTCGTAGACTGGAAGGCTTGCAGCACCGTGTTGAGATGCCTCGGTGAAACAACGGGGACGGAGAGGGGACGGCGGGGACGGTCGGTCCAAGAACCTCTTCGGTGTTCAGAGGAACCGCCGGTTTTGTGAAAAAGATTGAAAAAAGTATCCTATGTTCCAGGGACAACCCGTTTTCCCGTAACACTCCAGATCACTCAATGGAGGATGTTCCACGCCTGCTTCATCAAGTAAGTGCCTTTCACTGTTTGAATCCTTTCAATGATCAACGATCCCAACAGTCGGGCCCACACTTTGGCTCAGGGTCGCTAGCAAGCTGCGCCATGACAGTTGTAACCTTAGCGTCATCTGCGTGATGTCAAGAAGCCAATGAGCATGATCTTGTAAACAACCATGGTCAGCAAACATTGGTCGGTCGAACTGCTGCAAACTAGGACAAGTACAAACGGCACCTGTCCTTCTACACCCAAACACACCCTGCTAGGGGCCAACATACTGTTGGACATCTTCGCATGAACTACAGTAACCTAACATGTATTTGCCATCGTACACGTCGGGACTACAATTCGATCGTTCCTCACGGTGCCGTCCAGCATAGGCTTCCATGCATCCGGGATCAACTGCTGGAAAGGCTTTCGTCCCTGGCCGCGTCAGTGTACATGATTCAAAACAAAGTCAAAACCAATGGAACGAAGCAAACGCTGGATCCAGAACGGACCCACCAGGATTTCTTTCCAAACGAAATCCCAAAACTCCAACTGGAAATCTGCAGAATGCACCCCACAATCCCACGGTTTTTTACAGGTGCCACCTCTCTGCTTGAAATACTGTCCACAAAGGAGCACAGCAAAGCTGCAGCTTCGGCCTTCACCTCGTGATGACTTCATGAATCTAGAGTTCGCTACAACTGCCTAGCCAATGGGGCTCACAATCCGTTCAATAAAAGAAAGAAAACTGGACAAAGGCTGACGTACAAACTCTTATATACGTTTCTTGAGCCAGAGCAATCATTCCAAAATGACATTTGTTTGTTCCCGGTATTGGTGCATCAATCTTTCATGGCATCAAGAACGCTGAGTCACGGACAGCCAGCGCAGGATCTGCCAAGCATGTTTGCAGCACCTGTGAAGCTGCCGAAGATGCTGAAGCCATGCCACTCTGGATTGGCCAATGTCATTCTGAACTTGGAAAGTGCCTGGTAGGTCTGCGTGGGATTGGCCAAAAGCATCTGCCACACGGAACACGTCAGCTCCTGCGGAAAGAGACATGCGACCCCGGAGGGATCTCTGAAAACCTCATGAGTTGATATGAGTTGATCATGGAATCCTGGAAATGTGGATGAAATGACTGTAAATGACTCAGCAAACATCCAGTCATCCAGTAGTTTCAGTTGATATCTGTGTCAGTGGATGAAATGACTCAGCAAACTCTTACTAGTAGCATGCCATCAAAAAGCAACAGCCTTCACCCATCTGCTCACTCTGGAGCATGACTATCTCATGTTGTCTCAACCTGCAGAACGACGATGGGCCCATCACGTGTATCAAGTTCTGCCTTGACAATCCACAAGCAATCAGCTCGAAGGTTGCTGTCCTGGTGTGAGGCGTTCAGCAAAGCAAACAGAATGATTGGGACTGATTCGACCAGGAACAGTTTTTACATGATTGCTTTTTTGTGTTGAAGTCTGGGCCCCTTTATGGATTCTCTCCTAACTGAACGTTCGGCGACTCACGGACCATGGTGACCCGAAGCAAGCCCTGTTCACATCACTGGCCGTCCTGGCTGGTATCGCAAATGATGCGGAAAAGAGTGGGCATCAGCTCAGGCCACTCCTACACACTTGGGAATGGCAAAGCAAAACATGGCCATGTGTCAGCATGAAAAAAGGCCCATTGTTTAACTTGAAGAGTATCCTTGTCAATCGATATCAATCGATCATTCCTACATGTTCGGGCAAAACAGCTGGAAAATGTCTCCAAGGGAATGCAAACTGCTGCGCACTGTGCTCATTCATACGATTCCTCGAGACTGACTCTCTGCCTAAGTCTCCTGGAGGTTCTGCGGACGTTGGTCATCTTCGATGTCAACGATTTGGTTAGCCAAGCTTTGGATGCAATCAGACACCTCATGATTGAAATGTAACGATCAATTTAAGGAAGACGCATCAAGAGAAATATCCGCTTGGAAAAGCATACAGGTGTTTCATGCGTCAGGCCTTTCTCCTGACCTGCGGCACTGCTTCGGCCTGCATCGGGCGGCTTGACGGCTCCTTTTTGTCCAGAAAGAGGTTCACCTTAAACCTGTATATACTGAAAACACATGTTTGCTTTGTATATCTAGGATGTCTAAGGCATGGTGACATCTCCACATTGATAAGCGGTCGAACATCACCGAAACTCCCACTCCTCCAGGATCTGAAGCAACTGCCCTCGCAGCTGCGCCTGGGGAGGTAATTCAAAGACTGAACTATCATGACTCCCTATCAATCCTTTGATGATTGATCCATGATAATTAGATAAGTATAGATAAGTCATCCATCTTGAACCATAATCCATGATCCATCATGATCTATCTATCTGTGTCTAGGTCAATGACGACTATGCGGCTATGCACCTCATCTTCAAACCCACTGTGCCATCTTGAAGAAGCCCACTGTCTGGCGGATCCAAATATGAACCCACCTGGTGTGTCCCCAGCTTCTGCCATGTGGAATCAGCATCTTTCACCTCGAATCAGAGCTTTGTAGCTTCGGAGGCTGGTAGCCGATCATGTCTCCTGCCTTCACTAGCTTTACAGGCTTTACCCCAGAAAAAATCTCAAAATCCAGAATGTCGCATTCAGCTATCTGTGAAGAAAAAAACCGATCAGAAGGAACCTACTAGCGATGGCCTCCAACCTAATTACTAGCTGAGATATCTTATATATATATATGTGGGTGTCAAACCATTCCAGTGTTGTGCCAGTGTCGTGCCCTGGACGGCCTTGCCACAACACTGCCGCAAGAGCACTGCACATTGTTCCCGCACCTTGTTGCGCACCCTAGCAGTGTGTCTGTCTCTGCATGTTTCTACATCGAGATAATTACGCGCGTCTGGCAGGTATTCTTACCCCCTCAACAGAAAGTTAGTGCCAACCCCTTCAAGGTTTGCTAATCCTGAGGGTGACTCCCTTTCTAGAGCAACCAATCCACCTTTGAGGCGCCAAGGCTGAAAGTCGAGCGCGGTTCCCTTGGCGCCAAGCTGGCACTTCAATGTCGCTCTTGAGCAGAACCTGCACTGAAGGCAGGTTGAGTGATGCAATCAACATCAATACAATGCAGATGTGAACATTGCCGTTTGGGCTGGCGCGTCGCTTGTCTCAAATTGTCAAAGCTTGCATGGAAGCTTCCAGTAGTAATGGACACCCCAGAAACAGATAATTGTGGTGAGCGAAAGGATGAGTGCTGCTGATGTTTGAAGCAAGTGGATGCAGCCGAGTGAGAAAAGCATGCCGAGGAAAAGTGAAGTTGGACGTACTGCCACGGTCTCAACTCAGGGTGCCCCAAAGTTGTTGCAACGGCCCAACCTGAACAAGTGATGCCACCAGCTGCACTGGCTCTGTCCTGCACTGCTCTACAAGTCACATCACCAAGGTCTTGGTTTCGCAGACTTGGTGAGAACAAACGGTGAAGACTCAAGTTTGGGCAGTGTCCTTTTTGCTGAATCATAGCGCTGCTCGGCCACATTTCGGGCATTGTTGTCTGTGCCTATCAACCAGGCACGTCCGAAGAATTTTGAGCGATGCACACCTTCCCTAACTGCGTTTCTCATGATATGATACTTAGGTTACTTTGGTTTGTTAAGGACAAGCGCGCAAAACACTAGGGAAATCGCCCAACAGTTGCCGGATGGTCTCCACGAAACCAGCATCGACTGCCTGCCGGTCATGGCTTTTGAAGTACAATGGGACTTTGACTGCTTCGGTTGTGTTTCTACAGCTCTTGCCAAACCACATGTGCATCCCAATTCAATGCTGTTTAAAGGCTTGAGGTGAACTCTGGTGTGGGGCACCAAGAGCGTACCTTAAAGCAAGCCTCGAATCATTAACACCTGGCATCTGTGGTCTGTCGGTCAAGTGGAAATAAGGTTGGAGATGCATTTCCCCCAAAGGTTTGAAGTCGTTTGGCCTGCAGGAAACCAAACTTGACACTATAAGGAAAATAAAACAACAATGAAGATGCTATATTACTATATGAAACCAGTCTGAAAATAAAGCCAAGTCATCTTACCTTCCATCCTAGGTCCTAGTCTTGGTCAGTAACTCCACCAGGAAGCGACTGTGCGTCATTTGACGTCCATGGGACTGCCCGTGGAACGCGCGGATTGACACACACCTGTCGAGGTGGCGGCTGGAACGCCATCGCGACCGTGAACAGCCGGCGACTGTGCTTCAGTTTTGGGTGACTAGCTGCCAACAGTTGTCCCACAATGCTGTCCTTGCTTGGGACCCAACACATAACCAAACGATCCATACGATGATTCTCCCATCTTTTAACTTTGAACTGCTCTTGATTTCAGATCCCAATGGTTTACGGAGCCGAACTTCTCTGCAAGAATATGTTCCGCGTGGTCTGCATGTGCATCGGACATAGCATCAGCGAAACGTTGTTTTCTGCAATCTTGCCCAATCGATTCAGAACAACTCCTCTGTGGAGGCTTTGGTGATTTATTGCTATCTTTTGCAGTCCGAAATTGTCCGGAGAAGCTTGAACCGTACGTGGCCAAGAAACACAAAAAACCTTGCAGGCATTGCTTCATCAAACATCAGAATTGACACCTCAGTGGGCACCACTCCAAGGCAGTGCTGGAAAGCCTTTGCAAAGTCAAACGATCTCCAAGACTTAACACCCAGGATGGAGTCCCTGTGTCGGCAAGGTAAACGTGACATTGCTTTTCAGCACCGAATTTGGAACAAAATACCCCGTGAAGAGGCAGATGCCTTTGGCCATCTGCAAAATATAAAACCAACAGCTGTCCGTATCGGAGTCCAGCTGAAGCTGTAATTGGAGCTCACTGCTCCGTGAAACGACTTTCAGGCTGTGTGTTGGCTGTCACCGCTGCGGCGGATGAATCAAAAGTACATGTACAATGTACAGTAAATTGAATCTTGCTATGCCGAAAAAATAGAAAAAACATTGCAAATTTGAATTTTGCTCTTGATTGACATTTGGATACCTTGAAAGATGTTGCAAAAGAGCTCTCTGGTGGATTCGGCTCAGACATTCCTCCTTTCAAGATCTTAGGCACCTCAGAGCGGCAGGTCAAACGCCAAACTGTTCAGAAAAAGTATGTAGCCATCCTCTTGCTCACCACAGTCCACAAAAAAAAAATCCTGGCCCTTCTTGCAAAAGGTCATTTCATGCCCCTTTAAACCCTCACATGCGTTCCTCGTTGTTTGGGCATATTGAATTTCCTGACGCTGTCCGATGTCCACGGGAGATGCGGCAACCAAGAACAACCCTATGTTCAACCACAAAAGCAAATTTCTGTGTGCAAGAAGCTCCTAGGTGAAGGCCATCGCTATTAGGGTGGAGGCCATCGCTACTACTATCAAGAAGCTACTAGGTGGAGGCCATCGCTACCATTATCAAGAAGCTACTAGGTGAAGGCCATCGCTATTAGGGTGGAGGCCATCGCTACCATTATCAAGAAGCTACTAGGTGGAGGCCATCGCTATTAGGGTGGAGGCCATCGCTACCATTATCAAGAAGCTACTAGGTGGAGGCCATCGCTACGTATTAGGGTGGAGGCCATCGCTACTATTATCAAGAAGCTACTGGCAATGGCACCTTGCAACTCCTTGGCAAACAGCTGTTGCTGCGCAGCTGAGGCCGCCTATGGCAATAGCTAGCGCTCTGTAGCTCCGTCGTATCTTCTGGGTAGGACCTTTGGACTTGAAAGGTAAATTCCAGTTCATCCACCTGGCACCACCTTTCAACATAAGGTACGAGTAAAAGGTCTGAGTGACACCGGCTTGCTGAACATGATTTAGTGTTATATATATATGGTTTTTTCGTATTTAGATATGAATCTCCGGATCATGTTCCTGGGATGGTCATTACTGGCCACGCCTTTTGTGCAACTCCATTGATGCCGCAAAAGTTGGTGTCCAGCATCCATCGCATCACTTGCAAAAAGCCTACCTGTAGAAAGAAGTGAGAATGATGATGTGTGAATTACAATGCGTCCTTATTTCATAGGTTCCAAACCTTTTCTACTCTGCACATCTTGCTGATTCCTAGGTACTTCTTTTCTCAGAATGCTACTTTCCTGTGATGCACCCGGTTCAACGTCCTCTGCTTAAGCCTCTGCTGCTCGGTTGGACACCTGTTAGACCCCAAAGTAGCACAACTCAGCTCCAAACAAAACTCAACTCGTTCTTCTCCGTCTGCTGTACCAAGCCTAAGTCATCTTCGACATCGTTATCTTTGACGCTTGGTAAAGGTTTGGGCACAAACATAGACTGGGTTTCGTGTGCGAAGTTTAGGAAGAGCTCACCAATGAAGGACTGGGTGCGTGGTGTGTACATATCCTGGTTTGCTAAGATCAATCAGCTGAGAGACTCAGTCGTCCCTCCAAAGCCTCCTTCCCCTGCATTGTCACAGGCACGTTTAGCCTCAGACCGCGGAGAAAAGAACGGCCTCCAACCTAATAGCAATGGCCTCCAACCTAGTAGCGGTGGCCTCCAACCTACTAGCGATATCTAGCGATGGCCTTCAACAAGAAAGTGCGGGTGCTGAATACTCTTCGTCTGCATTTGCCCTGCCAGTGGATGATACTCGGAAATCAACAGAATAGCGAATTCTGTCACGTCGAGTGACCATCGTAAAAGCTTCTGTAGCATGGAGGCAGACAGGCCCGGCTCCTCCTCATCCAAATCCTGCACACACGCACACAAAACACTTACTTTCTTGAGTCCGACCCTTCCTTAAGCAAGCACAACGGGTTAGTGTGGATGTGTTCAAAAAATAACATATAGTGTACAGGTGTACGGTAAACCATCTCAATAGCATTCAACATTTCTCAAACTTCTAAGCAGGTCCCCATGCAATGCCCTTTGCAGGCAGCATGCTTCTTGAATGCAAAAATCTAAGTGCATCAACTGCACTCACCACATCGGTCCTCTGTTTCTCGCTTCTTGGCAGCGGTTTCATGGAGAGAGACTTTCCTGAAAAAAATAGAAACTTCTGCTAAGTTGCTACGCCCCACAAAAACCATTCTTCCCAGACAGCAATGGTACAAGTTATAGGTTTGAAAATGTTTTTAAGGCCAGAACGTGCCCAAGGCCGTGTCTTCGCTCGAAAGGCCCATGCCACCATGTTCTTAGCCAAGGTGAGCATGGAGTGACATACACGCCATGAACTCTGCGGTGAGCTTTGACAGATTCAATCCCAGCCCATCTCGCTGATCAGTTCGACAAGTCCCACGCTTGCCCAGCTTAGGAAGACAGCCCGGAAGTCATCGATCTGCAGCAGTGCACGCAATTTTTGACAAGCACGCCTCTAGCCAAATTACACCATAAGCGAGATTCCGATCGGAGTGTTTGTCAACTAAGGAATTGAAATTCTGACTTGTTCAACCGTAGACTGCGATGAATGAGCTACAAATTTCCAAAAATCAAGACTAAGCTCGTGATGGCTTGATTTGCAGTCATACCCATAGCCGCCCATAGCCCTATGATGCGGAAAGAAACTGCTAAACAGTGAAAGCCCTGGATTACAACACCAAACTTGCAAGTCTTGGCCTGTGCGCACTTTTTTGCCTCCCAAAACGATGCTGAAGCAATCGGCCTTTCAGTCAGTAGACTGAATGGAGTGTTAGGTACATTGCTCCAACTCTACTTGTAAGCCGACCATGGACATGCGGAAAAAATCTGATGGCATCAGACACCGCACTCGACCTCTCACAGGACTCGAGGTTTAGGTCCATTTCTAGCTGGAAGTGGTTTTCCTTGCGGTCCACAATGAGCTTCGTGAAACGCTTCTCTTTGTTCCACTCGTTAGCGAAAATCATGCTGCGGGCTGTCTCGAAGCCACTTGGACCATTGAAGAACGCTTGAAACTTCAGCAGGTGGTTTTGTTCCAAGATAACCAAAACTATGCCGCCCTCACCATCCTCCACCCTCCAGATTGTGGCCATGGGATTTTCCAGGATGGTTTCACTTGAAAACTCAAGAAGCTTCAACACCTCCTCAATCATGGACTTGGATTTTGATGATTTTGTGCCCTTTTCAGATAGCATCTTCTCCAATTCACGTTCAAGCTCGCGATCTCTCTCATGGCGCGCCTGGGTGCATCGATAAAGAGCCAAAATAACAAGCCGCAAAACCCCTCATCACCCTTCATGGCCCCTGTCATTGCCCTTCATGCTCAGACTGTCCAAAGTTCTTTTATCGTCAAACCCTTGTTGCTTGTACAACAAATCAGTTGGTCGCGCACCTTGACTGCGCGATGTGCATGAATACATCTTGCATCCTTGATGACTCCACAGAAGGCCTTGTCAGGGCATGCTTGTCAGATCGGCCGTGTGAAGGGCAATGCTGGTTCCCACCTTCCTGTGTAGCTATCGTCGCTTGAAAGCACCTGTGCTTGAGGGTACATGTAGCTTTAGTGTACTCAAGCAATAGCTGTACAGGGTGTGCTGGTATCTGCCACTCTTTCTTCTCCGTGCATCAATGAAAACCTGGGTTCCGCGAATAAAGTGTCATTGATAAACTCGGGGCGCCCTTACCTTTCCACGAATATCTGCCGGTCCCAGGAAACTTTGTTCTGCAAAGTTGACCTCAATCACGTCAATTTGGCTTCGTTTGGCTTTTGTGCTAAACTGGTTACCTGTGCGAAAAGTAGATTGGTGGGATGTATTGGCAATGGGCCCGAGACCAGTCTGGCCATTGGCCTTAACATCAACACCAATGGTATCCACTTCTTCTCTTCAACCAACTATGTGCTTGACGTG